ATGATATGGCCAAAATACTCACTCGCCTAATAATTGTGCACACAGTGTATAGTTATACTGTTACTTATAGTTATATTATATTGTTGATAGACAAAAAGCTTGGCTTCACATTAAATATGTGATATTAGAACAGTTTTCAGAACTTGTTGTGATTTCCACAACCATCACTGACAGAGACACAGTAAATGTCTGTGTGCCACTGTGGCGGATTTGGCTGAAAATCTGCTGAATTGCTTTATCACCAACATATCACTTTATGTTGCAAAACAGGAAGACAGAGCTGTTCCTTTTGCACAAAGCAGCAGCTTTTAGTGTCGTGCAGCAACAGATGGTGGCTAGCTTAGATGTAAAAATAGTGTTTCTCTGTGAGAGTGAGATTACACGAATTACAGCATTGCAGTAATGCTGTATTCATGTTATATGTTACACAGCAGTCACCAGTTTCCAACTTGTAAATACTGCTAACGTCAACATCAAAGTAATAACTGGGAAACTTCTGGAGAAATCCAACACCATGACAAATAGCATGGTATAGAGTGAACAACGACACAGCACGCAATGTAGCTAATGTTAGCTATGTTGTTGGTTAGCAAATTGTTGCCAGAGTTGCAGTTCCCAGAGTCAGCTCCAGACAGCAATACTCACAACTCTCCTGCTACTATAGCTAACATCACAACTGCATATCTTGGTTAATTAGAAAGTAAGCTGAATGTCTCTGGGCAAGTCAGTAACATTAATTGACACACAAATCCTGACTGGAATAACAAGTTAGTTTTGTGTAGCTTGTTCCAATCCAATCCCGTTTTACAGAGCCAGGGCTGTATAAACATTGGATTATTTTCAGCGCACACACAGTACAGAAAGCTAGCGGACCGTAAGGAGATATTTACTGAATTTGATAAAGATGAGTTGGATTACAATCGCATTACTGAAAATCACTTACTCCACCTTTAACATGGAAGTGTATGAAAAGGCAAAAATAAAAAAAGTGTTATGAAAGACTGAATATACTATATAAATGTCTCGCCGTTTCCAATTTCCAGACGACTCCTCTGAGCAGCATGGACCGCTGGATCTGCTCCAGACTCTACAGCACAGTAAAACAGTGCGAGCAGGCCTTTGAAGCCTATGAGCTGCATACTGTCACATCTGTCCTGTACTCCTTCTGGGTCCACAGCCTGTGTGATGTCTACATGGTGAGGAACATCATTTTCACGCAGCATTATGGGTACACTTTGATGTCATCAAAAACAGCACAGATTCGAAAGGAGATCATTGCTTTGTTCCTTTGAATTAGCAGTAATCTACTTACTGCTCAGGCTAATATTTTTACCTGATTTATTCATGAAGCTCAGTCACAGTATATCAAAGATTGATGTAAACAGATTCTTCTAAATAAAACCAGAGAGTAGCTACCACATTATGGAAGTGTAACCAGTGTTTTTCATCATCTTCACCTGTAGGAGTACGTGAAGCCTTTGCTGGTCCAGCAGGGTGAGGGGACCATTGTCCAGACTGACACAGAGCACAGTGGCAGATCGAGGCATATGGCGGGCAGTGTCCTCTATCACTGTGTGTCTACGTCCCTGGCCCTGCTCTCCCCCTTCATGCCCTTCATCACTGAGGAGCTGTGGCAGAGACTCCAGCCAGTTAGACCTGGAGCTGCAGCCCAGACCAGCCTGTGTTTACAGCTGTACCCCTGCTCCTCTCAGCTGGTAGGACTTCAACTATCAAACCTCCTCACAACCACAAGAGTTTAACTTCACCAGATTTACATAATGGAAGTAACGATACTGGGATTCATCACCATGTTTAAAGCTGCAGTAGGTAACTTTTGTAAAAAGTAAGTTTTTGCCATAAGCTGTAACTTTCACTATATTCTGACAGTCGTCAACCGGACCTGAACAAAAACAACCAATCAGAGCCAAGAAAGATAACTGTTGAGTCTCATTCCCAAGTTGTCACATGCCGATGCAATCAATCATCTATTGATTTTTCATTAATGCCCGGTTGACTTACTTACCTCACTTACCTCAAGTGGAATCTAGCCATGCAGATGGTTTGGGTTTTATTTGTTCAGGTTTTCATATATTGGATGTGAGCCCAATAAAATTGAAGTGAATGGTATTTCATTTGTTTTGCTTAAAACAGTATATAATATCAGTGTGACTTATCAGAGACAGTATCCGTGTTAGGAGCTAGGGTAGGTCTTGTATTTCATGTATGTTTTTTATTTTTTATTTTTAATTTTAAGTTTATTTTTGTCAGTGATATGACACAGTAAACACAAGGTCACTCAGCTACATTGGATGGTATACACATACTTAGGTGTATGTCCTAAGTAAAGAGAGAGGCAGGTGAACTCAATATCAAATCCTTTTATACTCTTAATGCATCTTGAACATCAGTCCACAAAGGCTGTAAGATGGGGCTAAGACCAAAAGCTGTGTGGATGATCTGCTATTAGGTGTCCACATTCTCTCCAGTATTGAAATACGGTTTTATATTTAGGGTTATAAAAAAACCTCATACAGTTCTTCTTCAGTTTGAAGTTGTCACCTGGGTTTGGATGATGAGAGTCCATTCCTTTGGGGAGATTTCAACATCCAGTTCTTTCACCCACTTTTCCTTTATGTAGTCTGTGGAATTGCTCTTCATCGATAAACGATAATTCATCCATAATTACCTCAGATACAAGTCCCCAATAATCCATCTGGTGGGTTCTGAGGTGTATGTCTTAATAAACATTTGTGTAACACCATTGGGATTAATTCAGAAGCATTTTTGTTATATTAAAATTATCTTTACATTCAAACAGAAAGCAATAAATTAAATGCTCTAAAATTAAAGCCAGACAGATATTGCTAAAGCTAACTAGCTAGTTGCACAAGAATGGCAGAGAAAGAGCTGTCAAAATGTATAGTTCCACCTGTACCTACAACAGTTTGCACTGCTAAACAAAGCTAGAAAAGAAAGATAGTACAGAAATATAATAGAAAGTGGAATGTTGCACAGAGAAACAAAAATGAAACTTTAGAATTAGAATTAATCATTTTTGTCGTCAGATTCCACTGCTACACTGATGAATCAGAGCTTTGGGGGGATCTCTTACTCTCTGTCATCTCATACAGGTTGCTTGTATTCTGGATTGAAGCTGCAGATAACAGCTATATTGCATTTCAACCTCACTAGTATTTCAGAAAGCAAATCATCAATAGTCAAAACCTGTGTATGTTCTGTCTGTATGGTTTTCCTTAAGCTGCTCTGGTTTCCTCCCACAGTTCAGACACAGGCAGGTTAGGTGAACTGGAGACTGTTAATTGCCTGTAGCTGTGAATGTGTTGTGTGAAAAGCGGGTATAACCTTTCTTGATCTCTGCTGGAGAAACCTGATTTCTTGGTCAAGTATACAGATTGGTGACAAATGAAAGGAAAAAGCAACATAAAATGTGTCAGTAAAGTGCTGTTCCACCATGAGTCCCCTAAACTCAGCTTCAGTGCTGCTTGTTATAGATTCTTCAACTGTGTGAAACTCTACTGGTGAATGTGTTTCACATTTTCTGGCAGTGTGCGCAGGTATTTTTTCCTGTGGGACTGCTATACTTTGGTTACACGCATGATATCGTCTCTTTAGGGACCCACTAACGGCTTAATCCAGCCATGCTAAGGTGTAGGTGTAGTCAGTATTGTACAACATTCTGCATATCTGCATTAGCAATTGTATACACTGGTCTGCTTTACAGGTGAAACAAACAGTGAACTTGAAGTAATCCCTCTGCTATTTTGCTCTTGTACACTTCTAAATGTGTTCTGTTATGTTTGGCAGGATTTTTAACTTTCCATGTATTTTAGCTGATGTGTTCTTTTTTATAATCTCTCCATCCTGTCAGGAACACTGGCATTTCCCTGAAGAGGAAAGAGATTTCATGCTGGTCCAGGAAGTGATCCGAGTGGCCCGCTCAATACGAGCTCAGTGCGGCATGACCAAAGAAAAGCCAGCCAGTACGTTATATAGCACCTGAAAACAACAATTTCAATAATAACACAAAAGTAACTACACTGATGAATACTGAAAGACTCGTACATATAAATCCAGTTATGTTTCATAAATGGTAAATGGACTGTACTTATATAGCACCTTTCTAGTCTTTCTACCACTCAAAGCGCTTAACACCACGTCACATTCACCCATTCACACACATTCATACAATGAAGGAAAAGCCCCTCACAAACGGAAACAAATGCTCATTCACACCACAATCCACTATATTAGTAAAAATTTGGGATTCAGGTATCTTGCTCAAGGATACTTTGATATGTAGTGGGAGAGGCAGGGAAGTAGTGGAGCCTTCTGATTAGTGGATGACCCACTCTACCTCCTGAGCCACAAAAACTACAAAAACAAAAATTTATGAACCTTATTGATAAATAAATAAATGCATTCATGTTGCTTGTATGTTTCAGTGTGGGCAGTGTGTTCACCCAGCCAAGCCCAAGTCCTGCTTCACTTTGGGTCAGCTGTTTGGACTTTAAGCCGTATCTCCAACCTCCATATCTACTGTCCTCATAGAGGAAATGAGCTCCTCTCTGTCCACTCCACTCCTCCACCTGAGGGAGGCCTCATTGGTGTGGTGGACCATGAATGTCAGCTACACCTTCACATTCAGGTACTTTATTTGAACTTTGTTCTGCTGCAACCCTTCAGGCATGAGCACAATTGTATGGAAGTTCACAGCTGGCAATATTACAGTCAGGATTTGCAGGGCTGTTGCAGGCCCCCTAACGAAGTGCGTTTTTTTAAACAAATTTCACCCCGGGATCAATTCTGGTTCTAATTCTGATTCTGAAACGATTAGTGGATGACAAAAATAAATTTTGATACACATCAACAACATCAAATTTGGTATTTGTTGCGATTTGGTGTCCTACTGTAGTAAATATGGACAGCTATAATTTGTTAGGATTCCATTACTTATGATCAAAAACTAGCGAGTTGACAACTTTGCTAACACATCCAGACATCAAGCAAGTGCATCAACACAAGACATAGCAAGCAGCTAGTATTACTGACTAGTCCGTCAACGTCCTCCGTCAAAGTCCTCCCTCTTAGGTCTCATAGACCAATAGCAGCTGCTGAGCCTAGTTACATTCCCCGCTCGCCCAGCTCCTGTTCTGGCATGACACCAGTGCTGCTCCCTGTAAGCTAACTAGCTAACAGCAGCTACATTTGGCAGCAGTTACTTTACAGCCTATCACGAAACTTTGTAAATCACAGAGAGTTGATGTGGGGCAGCTGGAAGACATCAGAGAGAAAACCAAACAATATTGTCTCCATAAAATATAATCCAGTTTCACCAAAATCAGTGACATAGTTGGTGGTGTGTGTGACTTACTACTGTAAACATACATACTTGTTATTTTAGGATCTTGATCATGTCTAACATACAGTAGTGTATGATTTCCTCTCTCAGAGTAGAACAAACATTGACAAACAGATAAGGCAGCTCTCCCAGCGCAAAGACAAGCTTGTTCCAAAGCTGAAGGATATCCTCTGCAGAGTCCAGTCTCCAGACTACCTGACCAAGGTTCCTGCTCATGTCAGGCAGAAGATGGACAGTAAGGTGAGCACTGGGCAGTAAGGTGGATGGTTATTTATAATTGTTTATAATTGGTCTTGGTTTGTATAAGGTTTTTGTTTATAATGCTATGATTACATTTTTAAATTTTAGGGTTTAGTGTCTTTAGTTGTCTTATCTGCTGTGAAATTGTCTTATCTGCTGTGAAATTGAATGTTTACTTCTAGTATTAGGAAATGTCTTGTCTGTTGTGCCCTGTGCACTTTATCTGTTTCACCGTGGGAGAGTGAGAAACGTCCTCTCGATTCCTTTGTATGTCTGGTGCATGTGAAGTAATTGACAAAAGCTGACTTTGACTTTTTGACTTTGACTAACCTGCCAAAAACTACCTTGATTTTTGATCTACCTACAAATTTAAATAGCTTAGTCCAGACTAATATCTCAACAACTATGAGATGGATTGGTACAAAATGTTGGACAGTGTCTAAGTGATTTTGTGGATATGATTAAAAAATGAATTGCTGGTAACTACAGTAGCTTATGAATCGAAAAAATAATTGTTTCTCTTTGTGATCTCAGCCTAAATCCAGTTACATTTCTGAAAGCTACAAATACCTTGACCTTTGGACATTGTCACTGATTATTATTTACTCCACACTTAAACATGTTTTTTGAATTAAATTATATGGCTGTACTGTGTTGAAACACATCAATACTGGTGTTCTTACCAAAGTTATGAAAATGTACATTTTGTGAGTTGAAAATGTCCCATCACACCCTCTACTGTTTTAAATCACCCTGAACCTTTAAAGCCAATTTTGACAGAGTTGACCGTTTGGGACTACTTTTTTATCAGTCAAAAAAATAGTGTTAACGCCTTCTAGTTTTGTTCTATTTGGGCGCAGTGGTTCAGACTTGTGCTTTAGACAGCTGTAGAAGCACCAACGGACTGCAAAGTTTACCTTGATCCCACACACATGCAGGAGAGTTAGCTTCTCTGAGCCGCTAGCTTAGTTACAACACAGCTGTTAGCTTACCTACAGGTACCACGCAGAATCTTTTACAAACAGCGTGAATGTGCTTCAAGTGAGTGTAATGCTCTAGCGGCCTGGACACAGACAGCAGCTGCTCATGGCTGGTTAGGTCTGACTAGCAGTTAGCCTGCTGCACTGCTGTGGTCAGTCTGTTAATTATTTTTATTTTATTTTTTTTAATTTGATGAGAGGGAGGGAGCTAGCAGAAAGCTGTAGTTAGTGTAGTTTGTAGAAAAATAATTTTTCTAAAAAAGGTGAATGATGAAATAAAATTTGACCATGAGTTTTTCATTCAATAAATTCATATAACTGTTGACGTGATCAATATTTTTGACCCTTCCTGTGTTCCTTCCTCCTGCTCTATTCAGATGTCAGCTTTGCAGCAGGAACTGAAGACTATTGAGAAGCAGCTAAGGGTCCTGCAGGAGACACAAACAACAGAATAACTACAGCCAATAACTGTGTGGACTGCTGGACATCAGAACTGATGAACTATTTATAATTTCGTCTGAGCCCAAGATCTCTACACTGCTTGAATAAAGGAGACGTTGCATAATATCAGCATTTTGTTGTTTATATAATGCAGTATCCCAGTAAGCCAAATGGACCCAACAGTGGCCAAACATTGTTTTTCCAGACATCTATTTGAAGTGTGTAGGATTAAATGGCCTGTAGTAGTAAAGTTGCAGATTGCAACCAACAGAATACCGCTCACTTCACCTTCCTCTTCCAAGCATGCAGGAGAAACTACAGTTGCCACAAAACAAAATGTGAAAGGCCCTATCTATGGATTCGACAATTTGGAACCACTTCTCAACTGACACTGAGAAACCAGCTGAAAATGTG